CCCCCCCCCCCCCCCCCCTCTCTCTCTCTCCCTTCGCCGCACACACACAGAGAGTCTACCGACCGAGCAGGATTGGGATGAAGCGGAGCTGCCGGGCATAGAGGAGACTGCACAGACACACACACACAGGGGAGAGAGAGAGAGAGAGAGACATTTGCAGGTTTCTCTGTGTGTGTGTCTCTCTGGGTAATGTGTGTCTGTGTCTGTGTGTCAGCCACCGCACTTGCGAACGTTCTTGGTGCTGCTCTCGTTGAGCAGCTCGCCACAGAGCCTCTCCACGTGGGGGATGCTCGTCGTCAACGCCCTCCCACCTGACCACACACAAACACGCACACACACACATGGACACCAACTGCTCACACCCGTTGGCTTGGTTTGTTTGTGTGGACGCGGTGCGCCTGTGTGTGCGTGTGTGTGTGTGTTAACCGCTGGCAGTCTGCAAGCGCGAGTAGAACTGATCGACGCGGCCGTAGTCGATCTCTGCAGACACCACACACGGACGGACAGGTGCGTGTGTTGCGGCAGGAAACCTCAGTCAGTCGTGCATTGCGGTGCATTGAGGGGTGTGTGTGTGTGTGAGCGCGGTAGCTACCGGGGCTGCGCTCGTCGATGTCGTGGCCGTCGCTCATGGTCGGGAAAAATGAGACATTCAACGCATAGAAATCGCCAAGAAACGCTGCACACACCGCACCCACAAACCACAACCACACCATCTCATCTCATCACGCGCCTGCGCGAATGACCCACTCACTCACACACTCACCTGCCGCCCGCTCGATGGCCTGGTCAGTCAGCTCGCCCCCCTCCCCCTCAACCACCTCCTCCTCAACACGACACACACTGTCACACACACACACACACACACACACGTGCGAACAATGAATGGCGCGGCTACATCCATTCAAAGGGCAATGAGATGAGCCCACCTCACCTGCTCTTCTCGCTCTCCCGTCGTTTCTTCTGCACGTCCCCTGACTTGTCAGGGAGCGACTCGGGGTGGGCGGCCCCGGGCTTGCCTGCAGGCCCGCCGTCCCCCTCCTCCTCGGCCAGCACAGTGCGGGGGTCGTTGAGCGCCTTCAACGCCGCCGCGGCAGCTGCACACAAACAACCAGACGCACACACACGGAGGGAGGGAGGGAGGGAGGGAGAAAGATGCGTGTGTGCTGCTTCTGTCTGTCTGTCTGTCTGTCTTTTCAGTGTGGTGTGGGGGTGTTGGGCCTCGGTGGCGCACCGATGGTGGGGTTGACGTGGATCAGCAGTTGATGCTGGAACTCGGCTTGGAACCGCTGACACACACACACCCAACACAAAGCAAGCATCAACAATGGCCAGCCAAAGACACATTGCTTTGCTTGCTTGTGCTGTTTGTTTCCCTCCCTCTCTGCGGAGCTCCCTCTGAGCGCACCTGTTGCCATTTTTCTCGTGCAGTCATGCCTGTGAGCGCCTTCTCCCCCTCACCAGCACCTCCAGCACCACTGCTGCGACTGGAGTCACCAGCTTGGTCACCGGACACGCCCCCCTCGCCCTCGCCCTTCTGCTGCTCCTGGTCCTGGTCCTTCATCTCAGCATCATCCTGCTGCTTGACAGGTGCATTACCGTCGCTCATCGTTGCGTTGTTGTCGTTCTCTGAACCGGGCCCTGGACTCATCCTGACGCGCTTAACGTTCCTTCCTCTGTTTGCGAGCTCGAGCTCATAGGTTGCATGTCGTGAGCTCGCAATCAGAAAGAAGGGAAGCGATGGAGCCGTGCCCGCCTCTTTTCTCCTTTGTGGCACTTCGCCGGCTCCATCGGCTGGCAGCGCCTGCTCGCGGCCTGCCCTCCCACGTGCCGCCTGCATTCACCTTGACACACCAACCAAGCAGCAAAGCTGACAGCAGCGATGGCCATGGCGGCAGTCGGAGCACTGACAGCAGCGGCAGCAGCACCAGCCATAACTCGTTTCCCATTCTTGTGTTGGCGGCGGGTGCGGGTGCTGCAGCCAGTGGAGTGTGTGGTCAATGGTTTGTGGGAGGTGATGGTGGTGATTGGCGGCAGAGGCAGAGGCAGGGGTTTGTGTTTGCTGGTCATCACAATCAACAACGGTCCCGTGTTGCTCTGTGTGAGGGGGAGAGGGGGAGGGGGAAGGCGCTCGGGGATGTCAGAGGTACGAATGGGAATGGACGACTCACAGACAGACAGCCAGGTGGATGTGTTGTGTGTGTATCTTAGATGAGTTGAATGAGTACTGTCGCTCGTTGGCCATCCCTGCGCCGCAGTGGCCAGAGTTCTACCAGAGGGGAGGTACGCCTGAGTGAATGCCTGAGTACGGTGCCGCACCACAGCCACAAACCCGTCACCCTTGTCTCTCTCTCTCTCTCTGTGTGTGTGTGTGTGTTTGCCGTGTGTCAGACCACGATGTGGTCAAATTCAGGGTCAGGGCGGACACCAACCTCTACGAGCTGACGGCCGGCATGCTGCAGAGGTCCACCACACCACACCACACCCTGCACGACAGAAACCTTTGATCTGCTTGATTCCTGTCCTGCAGGTTGGCGGCGGACACGCAACACGAAGATGACTACGACGGCCTTCTCGTGCGACCCAACGCCACACACACTGACACACTGACGCATCCACGCCTACGCCTAAACACAACTGTGTGTGGTGTGGTGTGGTGTGGTTTGGTGTGGACAGGTGTCGCGGTTCAAGGCCTACCACAGCGGCGAGACCGTCCAGCTGCAGTGCAAGTTCAGGTTCAAGGGCAGCAGACCGCCCGGCAAGCCACACATCGCTGACAACAAAGATCAAGATAAAGATAAAGACAAAGACAGAATCGCTCTCGAGGAGGATGGGTCGTTGGACATATTTGCCAAGTCGACCACGCCCGGCTGGTCAACCCAGTCATCGTCACAGAGCACAATGGCCGTCTGGGAAGGCGTCACAGGTACACACGCACACACACACACATCACACCATCCATGTGTGTGTCTCTCTCTCTGCGTGTGTGTGTGTGTAGGCACCGGGAGCCCCGACAACCCAGTGGTGGAGCTGAGCAAGCGCCGCAACGGTCTCACGGGCAACGACGTGGCCGCCATCAAATTCGGCATGCAGATCGGTGTGTATGTGTGTGTGTCACCAGACACACACACACGTACACCAAACACGGTGTGTGTGGATCTCTCCCTGTGTGAGTGGGTCTCTCTGTACTAGGCAATTTGGGATCTCGCGTGACGATTGCGGAGCCGTCGACAAGAGCGGGGACGGCGATACGGAGATACCACCCTGACGTACGCATCACTCCCTCCCTCCCTCCCTCTCTCTCTCTGTTTGACGCCTTGTCAGCGCGAGGCTTGTGCGTGCGTGTGTGCAGGGTGAGGCCACCCAGGGTCAGCCGAATCTCCGCCCCGAGGCCCTCCCGCCCCCACCAAGTGGTCCAGGCCAGCAGCAACAGGCCGACAGCAAGTGGAAGGTGAGTGGCCATCCATCTTTCTGCGCGCCCTCCTCAGAGAGAGAGAGAGAGAGATCATCATCGTCTCAGTGTGTGTGTCTGACTGCGCTGTTTGTGTGAGTAGGTGAAGGAGAAGCTGGAGGGCATGGGGGTGCTGGTGCACCTGCCGGATGACGAGAAGGAGCAAATGTCATGGCAAGACCTGGGCGGATACGACGACGTCAAGCAGTACCTTACTTACGCACACACACACTCTGATGGATGGATGACCCACACATACATAAGATCCACACACACAGACACACGTGACGCGTGCGACTGTGGGCTGTGCTGTGCTGTGCTGTGTGTGTTGGTCGGTCATTCACTCAGGCGGATTGAGGAGTGCGTGTTGTTCAGCCTGACGCACCCAGACCTCTTCGCCCAGATCACCGAGGGCACCCGCGGGTCATCCACACGAACGACCGACACGGTCATCCACACACACCTCATCTCACCTCTCTGTGTGTTTCCGTTCTCTTGTGTGCACAGGAAGAAGGGCGAGTCGAATCGGCCCAAGGTCGTGCTGTTCGAGGGGCCGCCGGGCACCGGCAAGACATCGTCTGCACGCATCATCGCCCACCAGGCAAGACGTGTTACGTCGGTCTCTCTGGCTGGGCTGTCTCTACACAGACACACGAGAGATGAGATGGTGTGTGTGTGCACCGTGCTTCCCTGCCTGTTGACAGGTGCAAATCCCGCTGCTGTATTTGCCGCTGGAGAGTGTGGTGTCCAAGTGGTACGGCGCCTCAGAGAAGAACCTCGCCACCGTCTTTGACATGTACGCGACGCCCTCACACACACACACACAGACACAGACACACACACACACACACAGAGAGAGAGACAATCAGGATCGCCTCTGTGTCGTCTGTGTGCGTGTGTGGTTTAGGGCCAAGACGCTCGCCTCGTCCGGCGGGTGCATCATCTTCGTAGACGAGATCGATGCCCTGGCGTCGTCGCGAGACGACATGAAGCAGCACGAGGCCTCCAAGCGGATACTGAGTGTGCTGCTGCGCAAGCTGGACGGCTTCGACACGCTCAAGGACAAGACCATGCTCATCTGCGCCTCAAACAGGTCGGACACAGACACCTCCTTGTGTGAAGCGGAGCGGACATCTGTTCGTTCGTATGTTGTCGGTGTCTGGTGTGCATGTGCAGGAAGCAAGACCTCGATGACGCCTTTCTGAGCCGCGTTGACTCGTCCATCTACTTCCCTCTCCCTGATTCAGACGTCCTTTCCCCCTCTCCCTCCCCCTCCCCCTCCCCCTCGCTAACCCCACCACACGGCCGTGCTTGTGCGTGCGTGTGTGTGTGTGTGTGTGTGTGCAGGCCCGCGAGAAGATCTGTGAGAAGTACGCCCAGCACCTGACGGCCTGGGAGCTGAAGCGCCTCGCGAACGAGACCAAAGGCCTCTCTGGCAGAAACATCAAGGCAGGCCCATTACCCCCCCGCCACCCCCACCCTCCCTCCAGCGGACAGACCTCCAGACCCCCTCTCTCTGTGTGTGTGGATCGTCCAACAGGATCTGTGTCAGGACGCAGAGCGACGCTGGGCGTCCAAGATCATCCGCGAACGCAAGCAGCAGCAGGACAGCCCGGCCAGTATAGAGGGTGGGGGAGGTCCTGCGTCGGACACCGCGACGGCGAAGGTTACTTTGCCGCCTTTTGATTTCTACCTCGACTCGTGCCGAGCCAAGGTCAGGCAGCAGCGGGGCGGAGTAAATGGATGACAAAAATGGGATGTGTGTGAGTGAGTGATGGGGGAGTTTTTGATTTTGTTGCATGTGTCCACATGTGCTGGTGGTGGTGGCTGTGGTGGTGGTGAGGGTGAGGGTGGCCGAGACCCCTGAACAGATCAGATACACCAGCAGCTCGACTCGACCGCCTCCATGCGCCATCGACAGCAGCATGCGCTATCCAGTCGTGCTTTGCTGAACGCGATTCGCTCTACTTACTGGGTTTTTTGAATGACCGGGCTGGCCTGGATGGATTGTGTATAGGTACCGCTGTGGTGTGGTGTGTTGGTGTCCGGGGAACTAGCTGGGATGGAGCCAGCCGTGTGCGGACTGGACGGACCTCTTCTGCCCGTGACAGCTCGTGTGGTGACTTGAGACGCGTCTGATCTGTCTCGGCTATTCTTGCTCATTCATTCAATTCACTCATTGCTCACTCTATCGGTCCGGTCGGTCGAGTCAAGCACTTATATATAACATGTAGTCACGATCGAGTGGACACGACAGTCAGTCAACAAAGCAAGTCGTCCCATCCATCCATCCACATCAGAGGAACGAACGGTGAGAGAGAGAGAGAGTCGACCCTCGAGCATTGGACGGGTCTGATCCACCCTGGCCAGGAAGGACATAAAACCAGACAGCCAGACAGACAGACGAGGCAGCGAGAGCTAGCGAGAGCTGGCGAGACTGGAGACGGGCAGCAGTTGTGTGAGTCTTGTCTGTCTGTCAGCCGCCCGACGCTCACTCACTGTGAGGGGAAGGCATCGGGCTTGCGACAGCCAGCCGCCACACACCACTTCACACAGCAACGAAGCAACCGACCCGCACATCGACACGACACACAGAAATGGCTGCGGTGAACAGCCAGCAACCCACCTGATGATGGATCTTAGCGATAGGTAGACAGACAGACAGACAGACAGAGGGACGGAGGGAGGCCACTCAGACAAAACGAGACAAAACGCGCTCGCCCGCGGCCTTCGTTGGAAGGCCGGCAGGCAAGCGCATCCATCCATCCCATCAATCAACACCTCCCCCCACCAGACAGACAGACAGACAGATAGATCGAGGGAGCGGCAAATGAATGACAAACAGCGGGCCCCGGCTTTAGACATGACACGTACGCCAGGCCACGTTAAAAGTAACGCCACCCCACCGCGCACATAGGTATGTATGTGCGGATCAATCACATCAACGCAGAGAGTCAGGGAGGGAGGGAGGGAAGGAGACGAGACGAGGGGCGGCATGGCACACCCATGAACTCACTCATACTCACGTACTCATGCGCATGACATGGAGCACACGACACACATGACATCATACCACATCACATCACACAGCATGACACGGCACTTCGGCCGTGAGCGAGAGCGAGCGACCACGACACACAAAACTCATAGACCCATCCCATCGATCCCATCCATCCAGGCAGCTCACACCCCACGACCGCAGTCACACCACACCACACAGGGAGCGAGCGACCGAGCGAGTATCGTCCTCCACAAAAAAGTCCGGGAGGCCGCGAATGAACCGGACGGAAGGAAACGAAAACAAACGCATTACCCACAGTCACGACCACTCCCTCCATGACGCTCTGAGCAGTCTTGTCGCCGCCCTGGTAAGGGACTGTTCCATGTGTTCTGGACACACATGAAACGGGACCTCAACAAAGCCCTCAAGACTACTCAGAGCGCGCCACCAGCAAGGTAATCACCCAGCCAGCAGGAAGGCACGTACACAGCTACAGCTACATAAGGTACATCACTACCCCACTTGGCTCTCCCCCGACCGTTTTGCTGTGATCACAGCCCACAGCACAGCTCAGAACTGGCAGGCTGGGCCACTGCAAGAGCGGAACTGGCCCTGCCCGAAGAACCGAGACCGTCCGAGCGACACAATCCCATCTGACGAACACACACAAACACACACAAACACACACAACACACGAGACCACCACATAATCAACGAGTCTCACGAGACACACCACACCAGGCCAGGCCTCCCACCCACCCGCCACTCACCGGAGCCATAGATTCTCCCACTGTTGAAGTTGACGTTGCTCCCAATCCCGCGCGGGCCCGTGTTGTACGCTGGCCCGACGATGGAGCTTCTCGCCTGCAGCTGGCGGCGGCGTGTAGAGTCCTCTTCGTCACGAGGGTCGTCGCCGTTCTTGATCTCGGCCACGGCGCAGTACCCCTTGGGGGCGTCGATGCCCTCGGCCTCGGCGCCACAGCCGCTCTCCGGCTCAGGGCGGAAAAGGAGGGCGCGCTCGCTGTCCACATCAAGATAATCACCGCCGAAAAAGTCGATCTTGACTGCATTGACGACACAGGCAGAGAGAGAGAGAGGGAATATGTTCATGTGTGTCTGGAGGAGCATGACGTGTGAGGGTGTGTGGTGCGCTTGCCTGAGTCCTTTGCCTTGTTCTTGGTGATCTGCTCGACCTTGTAGTATCTCTCCATCACCTCGCCGTTGCTCGCCATCAGGTCGTCAATGTACAGGCCGTCCAGCTGCACCATATCAAGACACACATACACACACACACACACACACACATATGAATGCTCTCACCACCCTCCCAGCACCAATCAGCACTGACCTTTTCAAAATCGGCGAGCGGCTGTGAGGCAAAGTCGAATGGGCTGGCAACGTCGGTCTTGCTCTTGGTGCGGACGACATTCTTGGCTCCGTGGGTGCCCAGCAGGTTGCCGCTTGCGTCAGGCTTGCTGTCCTTGGACAGCTCCACCGCGCCCACAACCACGGCCAAAATCAGTGCGATGGTCGCGACTGCACACGCACACACACACGCGCACACAGACGGACACGTGTGTAGGTAGGTGGGTGGCCGGGTGGGTGGCAGTGGTGCTCGCTTACCGTAGACGGCGGCCACGATGAAAACCACCCATGTGAGCGCCTTGGAGGTCTTGCGCTCGGCCATCATCTGGCGGGCGGCCGACATCACCTCCTGCACGCTGCACCCACGCACAGACAGAGAGACACCACGACATGAGACAGACCCCTCATCCCTCTGTGTCTGTGTGTGCGCTCTTACGAGAACATGCCGTCGCCGTCAGTGTCCCATGAGCGGAGGAGGGCGACTATGCGCTCAGGCTCGTCACCATACGCAGCGGCCTTCTCGAAGTCCATTGTGCGGCTGCAACCACACATACCCAGAGAGAGGTGAGTGTGCGACGTGTGGGGTGTGCGCCGTGCGTGGGTACCTGTTCTTGGGCTCGCCTGCCATGGCTGTAATCTTGCTGCTGTCGCTTGTGAGTGAGGGAGTGCTGCTTGACTTGAGGAAGATGCGATGATAGATCTGCGTGAATGCGATGTGGGGAGAGGCTTGGTTTGGTTGGTGTGGTGCGATAGATGGATGAGCACTGCCGCAGTCCTCCCTAGCGAGGTTGAACGCCCGAAGGCCCTTGAAGGACTTCTCAAACCCAAACCCTGTAAACCGAACCCTGCAGTTTGGGTTTCTCGGAAGTCGTCTGTCCATCCCCTTCCCTCTTTCAGTCCAAGTTCGTCCATGCATCACGTAACAATATATCATCCGGTGGAAACCACGCCAGCCATTTGTAACCACACTGCACGCGTCACTGTATGTGCCAGGTCAGGACCGTGGACGGACACCCGTGTCGCATGCGCGAGACGACCACTCTCTCATCGGCGCCTATCTACCTCCCCTGGAACAAACAGACACCACACAAGGCATCCACAACACCGACAAGAGAAACACATCTGCCATCGTCTGCCGTGCCGCGCACCAGTTGGCTTCCTTACGTGATCTAGATCGTGACCTGGAGGGTGACCGTGAGTACCGGCTCCTCTCACGGCGATCTGAACACACACACACACACCAATCCACACACACAGACACACATCGATCCACACTGGTCAGGCCGCCTCTCTCTCCATAGCTACCCACCTCGTTCAGGTGCCCTCCTGTCCCTGTTGTCTCTGATGTCGCGGTCTCCTCGCCTGTCCCTGTCCCTGTCCCCCTCACGGCTGTCCGGACGTCGCCTCCTGTCGTCCCTCCCCCTCTCCCTATCCCTCTCGCGACTGTCAGACCGAGAACTGCACACATACATACCCACCCATGCATCCATCCATCCATCAAACAAACAGACAGACAGACGCTGTGCACGCCCTTCGTGTGTGTGGGTGTGCGCATACCGGTCCCGTCCTCGCCTTTCCCTGTCCCTGTCCCTGTCCCTGCCGCCGCCATTCCTGTCGTCATTGCGGTCACGGTCTCGCGGAGGTGCGTCGCGGTCACGGTCACGCCGCTCTGCAGCCAGGCAGGAAGACAGCACACACATCAGTAGGGAGAGACGTGTGTGCTGCTGCAGAGTGTGATGTAAGATCGTCCAGTAGGTGGCGTACGTTTGAGTCTGTCTGGCGGGGGCGGGAAGGCAGATCGCACGGGGCTCGAGTCGTCATCGCCTGACAGACAGGGGGACACGAATGACACACAGACAGACACACATACGGTGAGTGGTGGACGGATGTCGGTGTGGGTCAGGTCAGTCAGTGTGTGGTGTGGTGTGGTTGGCTTACCTCCCCCCTTCCGCCTGTCGGGTGCCGCTGGGAATGGCGTGCGCTGAGGCCCGCCCTCACGGCTGTCACCTGCACAACACAACACACGCACACACCGGAGGAGTGAAAAAGGTCGATCACCGCCTCGCCCACTGTGTGTCTAGACTGACCTCTGTCTTCATCCCGTTCAGCCCGCCGCTTGCTGTCGTACCCCCTCTCCCTCTCTCTCTCGCCGCCGCCGCCGCCGCCGCCGCCGCCCATGGCCATCATTGCTCCTCCTCCATATGCGTTGGATTTCTTGGCCTTTTTCTTCTTCCTGCGGCCGAACTCATCGTACTCGTCGTCGGACTGGTGCTCGTTGCGGTCGGCACTGATGCGCACACGCCACAGACAGAGGCAGGAGGATGGCGGTCGATGTGATGTGGTGCCCGCGTGGAGGTGTGGTGCTTGCTTACGGGTCCTGCAGGTCGAAATGGCCACCTCCCCGGCCTGTGCGAGGCTCCTGGCAGCACACACGACAAGACGCACACACAGATGGGTTGGCATGACATGACATGAGCTGCACTTCTGTCCTCTGCGCATGTGGGCATACGTCGTTGAGCCCCGGCTTGGGCGCATTGCAAATGTTGCAAGCGTCACGACGGGCCCAGTTGACATTCCCGCATCTGACATGAAGCAAATTAACATCATGAAACAAGGACTTAGGCAGTGTTTGTGTGTGCCCTCTTCTGGCTGACCCTGGGCAGGGCCAGTCGCCCTTCTTGAAGAGACCAGGAGGACCGCCTGCACACACACACACACCAGACACAAGGAGAGATGAATCGGCCAATGTCTGCTGAGAGGCGGTGTGTGTCAGTCAGTGTCTTTCACGCACGCACCCCAGTTGGGAATGTCCTGGAGGGGATCACCAGCTGCAACAAAGACACAGGCACGACGACACGTACGTCACCAGCCCGATCAGCAGAGTGCGGCTGTGCCGTCTGGCTATTCAGTCAGTTCAGCGCACTTTTGGGTTTGTTCGCGCCGCACTTGTTGCACTTGGTGCGCTTGGCGAAATTGATGTTGCCACACCTGCATCAGTCGAACACGATGCATGCAGGCCGCAAAGGCACATCCTCCTCAGTTCCCGTGTGCGGAATCTCTCTCTCTCCTTCTCCTCACGTTGGTTCGGGGCACTCCCAGTCGCCTTCCTTCATCTGGCGCGCTGTGCGCAGCACACACACAACCATCGATCGTCACCTGTGCGTGTCTCGTCTCGTCCGCTGCATCCTCCTTACGACGCTTGGCTCGAAAAGCCCCTCCACCAGCACCTGCTGCACCCGCGGCGCCGGGAGCCGCGGGAACCGCACCGCCTGATCAACACACATACACATACACATCGGACAGATGATTCCGCATATATTCGCATCACCCTACTGATCTCACAATGCACCTGCGTCTGGCGGAGGGAAGGCGCCGGGGACTCCCGGCATCGCGACTGCGCCGGGGATAATGGGCGGGATGGGTGGGACGAGGGGATGGCTCTCGGGTGATGCCACGCCCACCGCTGCTGCCGCTGCTGCGTCGGGTGGCGGGACACCAGGTCCAGGTGCTCCAGCAGGCCACCCGTTGCCGGCGAACATCGACGGGTCCATCTTCAAAGATCCACAGGCGACAGTGATGTCATCTGCTGCTCCGTCCCAGACACGACCTGTCGAGCACCTTGCCCCAAGCTCGCAGAGAAGAGCTTTCAAGCTCGCAAGTGCAGGGATCAGTGCCTTTCGCAAGGAAGCAGTGCATGCGTGTGAACAGCCATCGAAGCGGCGGCGTTTTGTATGTGCAACTTGCAAGGAAGGTGAGCCCAGAGAAGAAATGACTGTGCATGAATCTTCAGACGCTGGTCACTGCACTGCAATGAGCGTCGATGTGCGTGTGCTTTCCAATCTAGTTCCAATCGATGCATGCAGGCAGCAACGCTCCTCGAATGTCTATCGTGAAGCCTCCCTCGGCAGCCATGTGTTGATCGAAGCCCCATCGAAGCCTCTTTTGCGCGGCACACTGCAGGATGCCGGCCCGTGGCGAACGGCGGCCGCTGCTCGGGCCCTCAAGGACAACACACAAGGCCCTCACCACCACACTCGACATCACGTGCGCAAACCGCACACAGAGACGGCAGCATTGCATGCAGATTTCACCGCCCTGGATGTGTGTGTTCCTCTCTGTTGCAGTCTGCGTCACCGGTTTCTGCTGAAGTTGTTTGGGGTGTGGGCAGGGCAGAAGATTGTCGTGGCCGTTCTGGCTGCGTTCCGTAGCCATGCCCGCTTCTTCAACACCTACCTACACACACAAGGCGGGGGGAAATTCGTTCTCATTTCGCTGCCATACATCGCCCTGCTTATTTTGTTGTTTATCTGTAAGCACCGAGGGAAACTGGAAGGCCCTGATGCGTGTATGTGTGGACAGGCTGTGTGTGTGTGTGTGTGTGTGTGTGTGTGTGTCAGACACAACAGTTCCCCGTCGGATGCCGCTTGTTGCGCTTGCCGTGGTTGCCCTCTCGGCTGCGGAGACATTGGTGGTTGCGTGTGCCCTGGTGCTGGTGCCGGCAGCCTCTCTCCTGCACCAGTACCTGTCAACTATGGTGTCCCTCAGCCTGTTCATCTACCAGCTGCAGAAAGCCCTTGACTTCGTCAGTGGTCGGTCAGCGAGCAACTACACGCGGCATATTCACACGTGTGTCTCATCATTCTGCATCCTATGTTCTATGCAGTGTTTCCATACATAGTTAGTGGCGTGACTGTGGTGTTCTCTGCTCCCCTCTCGTACCCGCTGCTGCCCGTCCTGGCGCAGCCCGCCGGCAGTTACACGATGCGGCCCCTGGGGCTGCTACTCATATCGCTTTACATAGTGGCGGTCTATGCCTACGTCGTATACACCGCAAAGCTGCTCGTGCTGAGGGTGGGTGCAAGGCTGGCTGGGTGTCCCCAGGCCATCCTGTGTCTCATGCGTGTCGTGGCATGGCGTGCGTGTCTGCAGCTGCACCCCTTTTTCGAGCTGACGACAGGCGACTCCTTCTTCGCTTTCCTAGCCCTCTATACGGACACATCATTCTCTCTGGTTCTTCTGCCCATCGTCCCTTCGTCCTGACAAGAAAGGCGCTCCCGGTCAGCCACAAACACCGCGTTCCGCTTCCTTGTGCGCACACGGAGGTTTAAGGACTTGACGAGCGTGCGGCGGGTCCATCGAACACCGCACAGCAGACAGCGGGAGTCCGGCCAGAGACGGCGAGAGTCCAGAAGGGCGAGAAGGGCACCACGCGACGGCAGAGAGGTCTCGCTGCGGGTGGAGGATACAGATGAGGGAGGAGAGCTCAGAGCGATGCAGCAGAAGACAGAAGAACACCGCAGGGCAGCGTCTCGGGTAGGGCGCCGAAGAAGGTGCGACGCGATCGGGGGCCCAAGACACGCAAGCACAGCGCAACCGGCTCAGAGCCGGTACAATCGCGGGAGAGACAGAGGCAAGGAGGGGATGGCGGGGACGAGTGGGAGGATGCGTGAGTGGGGTGTGTGAGTGAGTTATGGAAGCGTCCGTGACATGAGATGCGACAGTCTGCATCCATGCATGTACACAAGCAAGGCAGCCACAGAGAGCCATTCAGGGGTGCATAAAGCCTGCCTGCCTGGCTGGCTGGACTCGCATTCAAATGAAGCCGTCGACGTCAGTTGTTCCTTCGTGCAACTGCCTGGCCTTGCCTTGTCTTACGTTCGGAATTCGACAAATATCGGTGCCTCCCTGGCTGGCTGGCTTGCTGGCTGGCTGGCCAAAAGAGGACGCATTATATACAGCCAGTGATTCATACGGCTGCCACGCCACGCCACGCCATGCCATGCCATGCCATGCCATGTGATCGAGGGCAAAAGGCACACAGAGTGTTTCTGCATGCACGTCTGCACGCATAGCACCTGATCCCTAACGCACTTGAGTCTATCTACACACAGACACACACACTTCGGGACAGATCTAATACCTACGCTGGAGGCATCATTGAAGCGCGCCTGTTGCCTCCTGTTCGCCCAGCACGCCCGATCATGTGGATCAGATTTGAAACCTTGAGAACACATAGCAGACAGAGACACGACGTCCAGCTGCCCTTCTCTACCTCCCTGCCTCCAAAGAGAGTACCTGGCCCATGGTTTTCGTGACGCTCGAGAGATCACGCGGCATATCGAGGGACCCCCTTGCCGCCGCCGCCCGTGCGCCCGCTCCCGCTGCACTGCCTCCATACTCGCTCGACTGGACGGCACCCCGCGGCGAGGAGGGGGGCTTCAACACAGAGCCCCTCCCTTCCTGGCTCGACGACAGTACCGCGGAGGCAAATCCAGCAGACAGTTGCTGGCCGCCAGTGGCCGATGACCGCTTGACGCTCGTTATGGACACCGGCGCGCCACCTGCTGTCTGTTGCCTGCTCATACGTCTGTGACGCTCCTCGAGGGCGAAGAGCTGCTCCAGGAGTATGCGCAGCTGCCGGATCTGCGGCAGGGGAGGAGGGATAGGACAGAGGCATACAAATGAAACCATCGCCCAAGAGCATGTCTCGGTGTCAAATACCTTTGTGGCGATTTGTTTGCCCCTGAGCTGTCTCATGACTTCGACAGATTTGCGGCGCATGCCCGCGGCCATTCGTGCCGTGGGGCTGAGCTCCGAGCCCGATGCAGAGGACTCTCCCTCGCTGTCCTCTTCGAGACCCATCGTGACCTTGCGGGCAGCCCCCGCCGACGACAACGGGCTTGTATCCTCCTCCATCGCAAGCGACGCCCTGCAAACACGCGCAAGCATACACGTCCACCTCGGGCTAAGGTGCCTTGTCTCCTCTTCTAAGCAGCTGCCTGACCGCCGCTTTCTCTCTTCGCTCGATCTGCGGGCCTTCTGTAGCCATTCCTTGCCGGCCTTGATAGAGCTCCTGCGTTCCTTGATGCGCTGGCCCATCTCCATCTCCTTCTCCCTTTCCTTCTGCTGCCTCTCGAGCAGCTCCTGCTGCTTCCGACGCAGCTCCTCCGCACCCTGCTGGAACTGACGCTGAATAAAGAGACAGACGGGAGCGAGACAGAAGGAGACACGACACGCAGGACTAGCAGGAAGGCGATGGATAGGCGCTCTCCCTTGTCTCTCACCCACCAGTTGGTCGCCGTATAGTGCGGCTTCCTTCTGCCTCCTCTTGGCGTCCAATCTCTCCTTGGTCTTCTTAAGCTGCCTCTGACGCTCAATGTCCAGTGCCCTCTCCAGCGCCTTGACCTCGGACCGGTGCTGCTCCAGGATGCGCCGCCTGAGGTCGCCGTCCATCTCCTTGACACTCTGCAGATACCGCTCCTGGGCCTGTTGACGCTCCTGTATGGCCTTGGCGCGCTGCTCCTTGAGCCGCTGGTCGGCCTGCAATGCGGCGCGGTCGCGCTCCTTGTCCATGCGCTCCTGCAGCTCCTTCATCTGCTGCTCGATCTGCCTGCGGGCGTCCTCCTCCTTCTTGCGCATCTCGAGCTCGATGGCCGCCAGCTTGGCGCGCTGCTCCTGCCGCCTCTTCTCTCGCTTTGCGTCTAATGACTTCCGCTCCTCGTTTGACTCGATGATCCACTTCTTGGCCTGCAGGTTGCCGCGAGTGGCAAAGTCTTGGAGGCCGGTGATGAGCTCGTTGAGCTGTCTGTCGCGGAGGTTCCAGACGTCCTCCTCCTGCTCCTTGCCGATCTCCTCACCCTCCTCCTCGACGGCCTTGTCGAAGTCCTGCTGGATCATGTCGCGGAACTCTTTCTCCTTCTGCTGCCGCTCTTGCTCCAGCTCCCTGATCTCGTCTGCAACCGACCTTTTCTTGAGCTCCAGCTCCTCCTCGCTCTCCTCGTCACTCTCATCGTCCTCGAGGCCTTCACCGAGCGCATCGGAACTCTTCGGCTTGGCTCGCTCGAGCGCCCTCTGCATCTTTTCTTGTCTTTCTTGCTCCCTTTGCTGGACCAAGACCTCTTTCCTGCGCTCGTACTCTTGGTTGAACTCGATCATCTTGGCCTCCTTCTGCCGCTGCTGCTCGTCAATGAAGAAGCGGAGCTTCTCCGTTCGTTCCTTGTACTGCAAGGCCACGCGCCCCTGCATCTCCCGCTGATGACGCTCTGAGGGCAGAAGACAGGCCAAGATGCACGAACACTTGTCGTTAGTCGTGAACTGTCATGTCTCACCTCCCATGGCGGCCTTGAGTTTGGCGACAATTTCGTCCAAATTGCCCGTCTTGGTAACCAATGCGTTCTTGAGGTCCTCCTCGGCCTCGCGCTGCATGTCGCTCTGCAGCTCCTGCTTCTCCCGCTCCAGTTGCAGCTTCTTCTCGGAGAACTCCTTGTCTTGCTGGGCTTTGAGCTTGGCCTGCTTCTCACGGGCGGCCGCCCGGCGAGCGGCGAGCTTCTCCTGCAGCTGTTCCTCCTGCCGGGATCGCTCCTTGCTGACGGTCTCTTCGATCTCGGCCATCTTGCGGTTGTGTTCCTCGAGCAGCTGGCTCTTCTCTGCGTCTGTTGTGGCGTTGGCGGTCTTGACCTTGAGCTCGACCTCCAGCTTGACGCGCTGCTTCTCGACCTCCTGCGCCGCCTTAGCCTTGACCTCATCGAGCTCCTTCTGCGCCCTTTCCACCTCCTTCATCGTCCCAGAGTCGGTCTCTTTCGTCTCCCTGCAGCACAGGACAACACATGATGGCCCACCAATCAACTGGAGACACATGTCTCTCGATCGGTTAGCCTATCTCACTGTTTGTGCTTTTCTTTGAGCTCCTGCATTTCCTCCTTGAACTTGTCCTCAGCCTGCTTCATCATCACCATGGCCGCGGCGTTCTGCAGGCGGGCCGTCAGCTCGCTCACCGCACCACCACCCTCACCGACCCTCCCACGAGCAAACACCTCATTGCTAATGGCCTGCTCCTCGCGCTTCTGGGCATCGAGCTTCTCACGGACTTCCTGCACCCACAAAGCAAACAGGAGCAGTGTAATGGATGCCCATTGCTGTTGTTGTGACGTGAGCGCCTACCTGTCTCTCGACGGCCTGTTCGCTCTTAAGTCGCTGCTGCTTGGCGGCCTGCTCGGCTGTGAGTCGCTGGCGGCGCTGCTCGAGCTTCTGTTTGAGCTGCACCTGTTGCTTCATCCGCTCCTCCTCGATATTGTCGGCCTGTCGGGCCATCTGCGATCGCCACTGCGTGATAATGCGTTCCCGCTCAGCCTCTTTCGTCTCCAGCTCGTCACGGCCATACCCCTCCTCGTCTCTGAACATCCCCGAGGCCACGTGCCGGCCCATAGAGCGCTGGATGCGGCCGTGAATGTCCTCAGCGGCCTCGCGCAACCTGAACAAAGGAGGTAAGCAAGTATCTGGCGTGCACGAGGAAGGAAGGGGAGTGTCTCTCTCGACGTACTTTTGTGCCTGGAGTTGCTCCTCCTGAACCTGCTGCTGAAAGGCCTCGTTGCGAATGTCTTCCTGCAGAGCGCGTTTCTCGGCCTCCTGCTGCCTCTGCAGGTCGGCTGCCACCCGCTCCTGCTCCTGCTGGGCCTTCAGGGCGTCCTGCTCAGCGGCCTGCTTGGACTTGAGGGCAGCCATGCGCTGTTCGCGCTGCTTGGCAATCCGTGCCATCATGTCGCCCTCCTGCTTCAGCCGCTCTTGGTCGAGGAGGTCGTTGAGGCGCGCGATGTTTTGTTCGTGCTCGGCCAGGATCTGCTGACGCTCCTGCTCTTGCAGGACAGGGTCGGTGATGGTCGCTTCCAGCTCCTGCAACTGCTCCTTGACTTTGGCGTCCTCCTCCATCAACGTCTCGTTGCGCACCTGTACACACACGCTCATGGCGATACAAGAAATCCAGTCTGTGGCTGTTCTCCGACTGACCGCGTCGAGTTGCAGAGCCAGCTCCTCGTTCTGCCGCTTGTCCTCCCACTGCAGCTGCTCGCCCAGCGCCTCCTCGTCCACACCCTGCCGCACTACCAACTCCGCAGCCTTGTCCTCGTCAGCCAGCTGCCGGGCGGCCGCCACAGCCTCCACCTTCTGCGCCGCCATGAGGGCCACCTCGCCGGCCTGTCGCTCCTGCATGGCGGCCAGCTGCTTGAGATACTCCTCATCAAGCAGGGCGAGCTCTTCCCGAAGACTCTCGTCGATCTCACGAGCGGCCTGGGCACGGTGCTGCTCGATTTCCGTCTTGAGCTGGTCGATGGTCTCCTGAAGGGCTGCCCTCTCTGCCGGATCGGTGGTGTCCTGAAGCTGGAGCTCGAGGCGCTTGATGTCACTGTTCATGGCTGCCTGGTCGGACACAATGCTGAGAAAAGAGAAGGGGACGAGACACAGTGAGAGGGGATGAGACAGCCTTTTCTGCGCTTACGCTTCGTTGAGCTGGAGATTCTTGTCCCGGTTCAGGTCTTCAATTTTTGCCCTGTGTTCGCTTTCCAGCTCGGCGCGGTCTCTCTCGTGTCGGTTGAGCACCTCACTCTCCGCTGCGGCGATCTGCTTCTCCTTCTCCAGATACGCGACATCGCCCTCCTGACGCTTCTGCATCGCCGCCTTTCTGAAATGTCATCACAGAGGTGCGATATGCTGTGCGTTGCACGTGTGCTGCCGCGCCTGACCTCTTTTCCAGCCGCTCCTTCATTTTGCGTTCGAGCTGCTCAAGCTGCGCGTCCCTCTCTCTGTTGAGCATATCCTCCATGCCGTGCATCTGCTGCTCAAACTCGGCCTGCAGCCTCTTGCGCTCGGCCTGGGCCTCAGGGGTGTTACCCTTGACGTTGTCCAAGGCCTTCTGCAGCTGATTCTTCATCTGCTCCTTCCGCATCTCAACACGATCCTTGTAGAGCTGCTTCAGCGTCTCGGCTTGTTTGCGATTCTGCAGGGTGGTTGCGTCGACGAGGGCTGCCACCTCATTCTCGTGCTGCGCCCGGGCCTCGTTGATCTTGGCATCGATGAGTGTCCCGTCGGCATTGACCTTGGCCGCCTGGTGGCCAGAGCGGGTGCGATCTTCCTCCTCTTTCTGCTTCGAGCGGCGCTCAGCTGCACATACACCACAATACATGGCGTGCATATTGACCAAATTGTGTGTGGCCAGTGTGGCTGTGTTGACCGACCAGCTCTTTGTGCCATTTTGGCCTGCAGCTGCTCGAATTGTCTGAGGCGTTCCTCCTCGAGCTGCTGCTCCAACAGCTGACTCTGCTCGGCATACTCAGCCATAATCACCTCTTTGGCTGCCTGATCATCGCCCGCCTCGTCCAGACGCTGCTGATAGGTCTTGGCGAGCTCGGCGCGTTTGCGATCTCCCTCTGGACACGGAAACGGGAAAGAATACGTCATCTTGTATCAAGGGAGACACCATTTGGTGCTGTTGACCTGCGAGCTGGTCGTTTGCGATGGCGACGGCCTCCTCGAGATTCTGCTGCGCCTCTTCCCGCGCCTCCTGAAGGTGTCGGTCCTTTAGTCGGTTCATTTCGTCGGTCTGTCTTGTCTCCTGCTCTTCCCGCTTGTCCTCCTTGTCGGACCGCTCTTCCCTCGCCTCCTTGAGATGCTGCTGGCGCTGCGCCACCTGCTCCTTCATCTCGTTGATCTTCTTCTCTTTCTGATTGCTGAGATCGTCCTGCATGCGGGCGATGAGGTCGTTATACACCTCGAGCAGCCGACGGCGCTCCCTCTCGTCCTGTGTGGTGGCCAGGGCGGTCTCGATCTTGTTGAGCTGGTCCACTTGGTTGGTCTCCATTTGCAGAGACTGCTCGAGCATCTCAAGGTGGTCAACCACCTCACCACCTGTGGAAATGAAAGTCAGACGGGCACAGAGGATGGTGCGTGAAGACATCGCTTACCGCCGATTTGTTCGAGGAATGACTCTTCGGCCTTCTCTGGCTCCGCCTCCCGAAGAATGTCGGGCGAGTAGATGGGGTCGATGCGGCTGCTGAGCTCCGTCAATAGACCCTCCTCTTTGCCCAGTGTCACCCCAATGCCCTGAAGCCGTCGGCAGGACATCATTCATTTAAAGACACGGCACTTGCCGGTTCTGCACACCCACCTCCATCTTGGCAAGCGCCTCAGCGATTCGTTCCATGAGTGCATTCCGCAGCGCAGCGGCTTCGTCGAGAATGGCGTTGCTCTCGTCCTCAATCAACTGCTCCTGGTCGCCGAACCTCTTGCGAGCCTGACGGTGAAAACCACGCCCGTGTATGCGTCTTTTCATCTGCCCTCAGCTCACGTACATCTTGGTGGTGCATCACGAGTTTCTCGTAAGCGGCCTGGAAGAGTCGCGGGTCGATTACCGACAGCTGGTAGTCCTTGAGGTATGGCTGCAGGTCATCCGGGCCCATGGCCGTCACGCGCATCTTGTAGGCCTCGTAGGCCGCCTTCAGCTCCTCGTCCTTCTCCGCATAACCTTTATAGGCCAAGGCGACGAGACGCGCACCTTGTCTCACTGAGCTAGGCCCTTTCCTCACTCACTGACCTTTGACAATGTCTTCCACAGCGACCTTTGTCTTGTCGATGGCGTTCTTTTTCACGCCAAAGGACCAATCCTGACCGGCGAGGCCGGCTTTGAGCCTCTCCTTGAAGACGAGCTTCTTGAGATACGTAGAGAGACACATGAGGACGAGCACCAGCCCGATAAGGCCGCCCATGAGACAGCCGATGAAGATCACATTGGGCAGCACAGCCACCTCCTCGCTCTGAAGGATGCGGAAATTCACCAGAGACTCGATGCTCTGCGGCTGTGGCACACTGACAAACAATCAGCAAAGCACAAAAACCATTGTCAATACCAGCTGTCTCTCTCGCTCACTCTGCAGCGCACGATTGCCCCCTGGGCAGGACGGCAATGACGGTCTGATGCGCAGTGTTGCTGCTCGCACCAAACACAAACACACCCGGCTGCTGGAACGTGTACGCGAACAGCTGAAGGCACACACATGTATACGACACACATGAGCATCTGGCATGTGTGTCAGTCAGTCAGTCAGTCACTATCAGTCACCTTGAGGTCGGGCACCTCACTGGATAGCTCCATCTCCTCCTGGAGTTTGAGGAATGGCGCGACGTCGAAGTTTGGGTTGCTGTTGAGGAGGGAGTTGGAGATGTACACGGGGTAGACGCGCTCGATGATGGACCATATCATGGTGCTGCCCAGCTCCAGACACTGAGTGGGATCAAGGATCGACGGGTCGCCTGACAACGACGAGGCGAGGTTGGGGAAATACGCCACCCGAGTCGCGCTGAAGAAACCAACAGTGTCTGTCTGTGTCCATGTCTTGTATCGCCCGTCGCCTGTCTCACTTTTGTGTCTGCAGCCGTCGCTCCTGGTGCTCTTCATCCATGAGGTAGTGGTCATGCTCGTCCTCCATCAGAATGTCCTTGAGCATCCGCCTGTCGGTCCCCGCGGCGGAGACTGCCTGGACGGACCGTTGGTACGCGTACCCGAACTCGTCGTAGCGCCGGTAGTGGCCCAGCATCTCGATGCCACTCGACGCCAGCCGCCGCGTCACATTGCCCGTCGTGCCGTTGGCGCCGTCGTTGGTGCAATCTGTGCGCCGGCAGTAGTCCTCGAGCAGATCCTCGAGCAGCCCTGACGAGAGCATCCACCATGCAGAGAGTATGCGTGTTGGTCGTCTTCCTGCCTGCCTGTGTACCAGTAGGTGAGCCGAAGAGCCCCTGAATGCCCGCACCGCTGATGGCCTGGAAGCTGACGGTGCAGTTGATGGTGTCGGTCAGTGTGACAATGTCGTCGCCCAGCAGGTCGCACACGAGTTTGCCGGAGAGCACGCCCCCGGTGAAGAGGGTGATGAGGGGCACGGCCAGCTGCTCACCAGTGGTCCTGTTGACAAACACCAGCTCCTCGCCGCGGATGTACAGCTCGCTCATCTCATTTCTGCAACAATACACGCGACACATTCATCGCACGTCTGTCTCTCACACTCCTTTGTCTACTCACCGGCACTGCTCGTCACACACGATGTCAGGATTTTCCTTGAGATCGCAATCGCACACACCGGTCTCGACGAGGAGCCTGCCGCGCCCCTCAGGGCAGTTGGGGCAGTTGCCGAGGTCCTCACACTCGCCCGTGATGCTGTCTCGTGCTGTGGTGTCCATCTGGTAGATGCCTGAAGTGCGGGGCCCATCACATCGCGGCAGCACTATGGGCTGGCACTCAATGGGCGAGTCCACTGTAGAAGCATCGTTGAGCTCCTCATCGTAGAAGCGGTAGCTGCAGACGGAGTGAGTGGAATAGAGGAGGAGACACGTGTTTCCGTTTGCTTGTGCTTTACCCGGGTCTGCATACGCATCGGCCGTCGAGTATCTGGTACGCTCTGTTGGCCCCGACGCAGTCACATGTGGTGGCCCCTTCCGTCGATGTCGATGTCAGGCCGCACGGCAAGCAACCAGTCTGGACCAACAGCACAGCAAATAATATCTCTGCTAAATGCATGATCGGCCCACCTACCTGTCCGCTGCGGTGATTGAAATTGCCAGCCGTGCATTTCCTGCAGTCGGTGACGTTCCTTCTCCCCTCTTGGTCGTTGTAGGTACCCGGGATGCACGGGAAGGGCCAGGCGCTGCCCGTGGGGCAGTAGAACCCCACCGGGCAGATGTAGCCGTTATTGATGGTGGTCTCGACTTCAGGCGGATCACCGATGCTTCTGATGGAGAGGGCTTCGACCTCCTTCACAATGATTGAGGTGCCGCCTGCATTGACGGAACGGGGCGGCAGATAGAGATGCGTGACAGCTTGGCCTTCGGGGTGTGTGCTATTTCCCCACCTTCACAGACATATCCCGGCTCGCACGGCGTGCAATTGAGCGAAGCCGTCTCGTTCGTGTAGTAACCCTGCCAACCAACCAACCAACCAACCAACCAACGAAAAGCATGAGTACACGGCCATGTCTCATGCCCCCATGCACTCACCCATCCCTCTCACCGGCGGGCAGTCTTCGCAAGCCACGTCCTCGCTGGAACGGTTGTAGATCCCCAGCACGGCCCTCTTACCCACAGGGCAAGGCTCAGGGTATGCGGCATACCCTGAGGACATGCCCTCACAGAAGTAGCCTTGCGGGCAGTCGAGAGGGAAGGGCGATTCGGGCGGGCAGTAGTAGCCTGGTGGGCATGGCTGCTCTGCCCCCGAGTTGACGGGGCAAAAAGTCCCGCCCGCACAGGTGATTGGCTCAGCCTGAACGGCGGATTGTTCGTTGTGTAAGCGTTGTTTGTCTGTCTGTGTGTGTATGTGTGTACGCACGTACGCCCATGACTGTGAATTCCTCGGTGCCGTCGTTGGGCGTCAGGGCAATGCCTTGGACCGTGGAGGCGTCAGGGCAATACTTTGGACGTGGTGGCACGTCAGGGCAAGTCAAGGTGACTCTCAGGATCCCTGTCTCGGTCGGTTGAGAAGGTGGCCCTAGGATGTCTTCCGTTTCTGGAGGGCGGCGGACTCCTTGATTGAAGACCAATCGCGAAGAGTACCGCTGGCCGCTCTCTATGATGTCGTCGTATAGCGTGATCGTCAGCAGCGACACACTCACTGAGAACTGCACTCATCAGCCACACACACACACACACACACACAAAGAGACACGCATATGTACACGTAGACACAAACACATGTACAGCCATACATACACACACAGCCAAACAGTACAGACAGACAGACAGACAGACAAGAGCGTCCATCCGTGCTCTCTCTGCCTGTCGTCCCTATCTCAGCCAGCCAGCCAGCCAGGCATCGAGCCCCTATCGAGCCAGTAGGCTGGCCACAATACGTAGACGTATACATACAGACACAGACATACCTTCTTGGCTGTGAACTCCTGTTGCTTGCCGCCAATGAGTGTGAGGACAACGCTGTCGATGGTGTTGGGATGGACTTCGGGCGGGAAAGGAACCTCAAGGACGCCCTTCGCCGTGGACTCACCCTCGCCGCCCTCCATCTCCTCGAGTGGACGAGGCGTCTCTTTGGACGGCGTCGGCTGCTTGTAGACCAATTGAAGCGCATATTGCGTCGATGGGTCGATAATTCTGTCATCCACCAGCGTGACCGTCAGCTCGCGATCCTTCCTTACGTACACAATCTGAACCAACGAAGGAGCCAAATAGTGAGTGAGCGAGTGAGTGGTCAACTGAGCTCGGCCGAGTGCAAACAACGACCGACCAAGGATAGATAGGATGTACCGTACTGTACTTGCCTGCCACTTGTGTATGTGTGTGTATATCTGTGTATGTGTATGTGTGTGTGTATGTGTCTGTATGTGGTTTGGTGGCTGGCTGCAGTGATGTCCTTACTGTGTCGGGGGGGCAGTAAGTGCCGTTCGGACAGCTCTCGTAGACGGCGTTGAGCGTCCGGCTCGCGTCACAGAAGAACCCTGAGAAAAATCAACATACACACGGACACATTGCACCACTCCCACACGAGAGACATGTCTCACCAGCGGGGCAAGGGTCGCATCCAGTCACATTGGCCGCCCCCGTGAAGTTGGCCAATGTGCCGACCGGACACGGCTCTGGTTCGATGGTGCCGCAAGCAAAGGGGTCGGGGTTGTCTGGCATTCCGCAGACCGAGCTTGGCAAGGGGGAGGTGCAGTAGTGCCCCACCGGACAGGGGTAGTTGATGTAGGTGGGGTGGCCGTCCATCGGGCAGAAGTAGCCGGCCGGGCACGGGAGGCAGAACGATATGTCGGTGCCGTTGGATCGGTCGTTGTAGGTGCCCTTGGGGCACTTAGTGGGCCGCTGCGAAGGCTGAGGGCAGTAGGTGCCAGGCGGGCACAGCTCGGGTATCTACGTATGCAAAGGAGTCGATACGAGCCGATTTCCTTGTCGTATGTGTGTGTGTGTGTGTGTGTGTGTGTGTGTACGCACTGTCATGTGCTTTGCACAGTAGGATCCAGCGGGACACTTGATGCAGTCCTCCCGTTTCGATGCGCCTGGCTGGAACCGACCAGTGCCCGGCTCGCAGGGCACAGGCTGCACAACACACCACACAGAGAGCGAGGGAGAGATGTAGAGAATTTGCCAGCACACCAAGATCTCTAGCTACTGCGGAAGAAAATGACCTCGATGGTGCCCTCGGGGCAGTAGTGTCCGGACGGACACAGGCCGCCATACTGGATGCCAATCACGCCAAATTGCTCGTTGTCACTAATATTCAGCCCCGGTCTGGGCGAAGGCCCCACTCCTTTGAAGCACACGTATCCTGCCTCACAGGGCCCCATCATCTTCCCCTGGTCGCAGTACTGCGACTGCCACACGCGTGTCGTTTGATTGTACTTTTTCTCGCACTCGGTGCACTCTGCATCTTCCGCCAGGTTCTTGACTGTGAAAGAGGTGTAGCTGCCCGGGGGGCACGGTTGGGGGTCTGCACCGCCTCCCGGGCAATACAGCCGATCTGGGCAGGGCTGGTAGCGTGAATGGCCCTCTGGCTGGCAGTACGTCCGCGGGGGGCAGTCATTGCACTGCTCGAGACCTTTGACGTCGGCGAATGTGTTGTTTGGACATGGGAAGGCGGTGTCTGTCCCGTCGGGGCAGAAGCTGCCCTCGGGGCATATGTTGCCCGTAAAAAGAGGGGGGGCGGTGCGGTCCGTGGGATGGCTGCTCTTGGCCCCTCCCACACAGAAGTACCCCGGATCGCAAGGCCCGGTGCCGGTCGGGTTCGTCAGGTTCGCATCGCCGCAGTAACGGCCGGGCGGACAGGAGGTGCAAGCAACCGTCTCGTCCGACTGAGCCGTCTCGTTGCCAAAGGTTCCGAACGGACATGGAATCGGATTGTCCTAACCACAAACAAAGAAAGATAACGCCAAATGATCGTTGGCTATGTGCGGTTCGTTTGTGGACTCGTTGACTCCCTCACCGTGCCCTGTGGGCAGTAGAATCCGACCGGGCAGAGCCCGCCCCCCACCGGCCAGCCCTCGGGCGGCGGCGGCCACACCACTATGAACTCAGGACCCGTGTAGACGGGCGGGCCCACCGTGGGGGCGGCGGTGGTGGTCACAGGCGGGAAGGGTGTGGTGGGCTGGGTGTAGTTGGCATGGAAGGGCTGGGGGTCCTGCGACCCCTCCATGCAGATGAATCCGGCGTCGCAGGGGCCCGCGGGGGACGACTGGCCGTCCGTGTCGCAGTAATAGCCTGCCAGACACATGCAGAGATCACAGTCGCACGAAGACACGGAGAGACATGGGTTACAAAGGCAGGGATGCCGACCTCTCGGGCATATGGAGCAATCGTCGGGTGAGGTGAGGGCTTCGGCGTCAGCGAACGTGCCAGGTGGGCAGGGGATGGGGGTCGTGACGTTGAAGGGGCAGTAGTTGCCTTTGGGGCACACGAACTCGGTCCCGTTCGACATGGCTGGGGAGAGAGAATACATGAGCGCATGACGGAAGGTCGAAGCGCGACGCAGCTATGTATTATACATACCATCAACGTTGCAGTAAAAGCCTGCGGGACAGCCGAGACACTCACCCAGGCCCTGTCAGCAGATATAAAGTTGGCAGAGACACCGTTGACTGACACGATTAGCTCCCTCTTCGACTTACTCACCTCGGCGTCGCTATACGTGGGCGCAACGCACAAGAGCTCGGTGAGAGTGCCCGCTGGGCAATAGTAGCCAAAAGGACAGATAATGCCCTGCACCGGGGGAGAGGGAATGTTGACTGTCGGCGTGGGGGTCTCCGATCTATTGTAGCACACGAAGCCCATGTCGCAGGGGATGGGGGTGCCCGTCGACGAACAGAAGAACCCCGCCGGACAGTCGCCGCAGTCCCCAGGGACACTGGACCCTGATGAGGGCACACACCAACCCTCAACAGACACTCACAAGAAAATGGTCTCACTCCCTCCCTCTTCTCACCTTCTGGTGAGCCAGTGGTGCCCGGTGGGCATGGCAAGGGAGCCGCCGAGCCTGCAGGACAGTACATGCCCGAGGGACACTCGCGACCAGGGATGCACGAGACGTTGGCCGCGCCGGCCGCTGTGGGTGGCGGGCAATATGTTGGCGCGGGTGTGGCCGTGTCGGATCCCCATCGGCAGTAGTATCCCGCGTCGCAGTCGGGTCCAGGGGATGTCAGGCGTGGCGCACTGCAGTACTTGCCCGGAGAGCTGATGTCAATGAATGCGATCGACGTACGAACAATGCAGCAATGTGGGAACGCCTCTCTGTCGCTCGCTTACCATTCTGCACACTCAGAGCTGTTTGTGAGGTGCTCCAGGGCGCCGTATGTGCCGACAGGGCAGTCGAGCGGTGTGTCGGTGCTGCCCTCGCAATATTGGCCCTGGGGGCAGGCGACGGGAGCTGTCAAGCCATCGGTGGCGCACACGAAGCCCGGCGGGCATGTTTTGCAGCTCAGCTGTCCGACCCAGTCCTGGTACTCCCTGCATACCCATGGATACACAGGCAGGAGGTATGTCAAGTCGGTGGCGTGTGCGTATGGCATGTATGGGTAGGTGATCTAGTACTGGGGGCTGCATGGGTCGGGAAAGGCGTTGTTGCCCGCACAGCTGTGGCCCGCATAGCAGAGGAACTGTGTCGATGACTGCACAACGTACACACACAAAGAGACAGAGAGAGACATGCCTCATCCCGTCTCGAATGGCTGCATGACATTGGCTTGCCTTGGATCCCGCTGGGCAGAAGAAGCCCGCCTCGCAGTCCCCCGTGATGGCCGTCTGCGCCGTTCCCCAGCAGTACTGGGCCTCGTCACACTCAGTGCAATCAAGGACGCCCGTCGCCTGCTCGGTGTCTCTATAACGACCTGCTGGGCAGCGGACGGGATCGGATGTGCCCTCCTCGCAGTAGTGGCCGACAGGGCACTCCCCGTACGCGCGAACGGGGGGGCCAGTGGTGTTGTCTGACGGACACTGGTTCACGTCGATCGTCCCTCCAGGGTTGTTCTGCTCCGCCAGCTGCTTGCACACATAGCCGGCGCTGCACGTGCCGAGAGGCGTCCCACTGCCGTTGCAGAACACCCCGTTTGGGCAGGGGGTCGGCTGCGTGGATCCCTCGGGGCACGTGTAGGCGTTTGTGCACTGGAAGCCGTTCTCGGCTGCTGAGGTGGGAGTGCTTGATGTGGTGCCGCCCTCGCAGTAGTAGCCCTCTGTGCAGTCATCCACGGGGTAGGCCAGGGCAGTCGCGTCACAGTACTTGCCTATATTGAAATGCAGCCACCACCACAAAACACAGACGCTGGGTGGTGGGTGCACGTCGATTGTGTACCTGGCGGGCAGTCTACGCACTGGGAGACTTCCCACCTCGCCGTGAAGTTGTTGTAGGTCCCTATGGGGCACTCAGCTCCCGTCGCATTGGGTGTCCGCACCGGACAATAGTAACCCTGCACACAGACAAAACACACGAGACACGATGCCCATGACATTCATTACCCGGCTGACCCCTTGGCACTCAAAGGCGTCTGTGCCGTTGCAGGTGAATCCCTGTGGGCAGTCGATGCATGTGCTCTGCCCCTTGAAGGGCTGGTATTCGCCGTTAGTGCACGGCACTGCCGCCGGGGAGGCCTCGGGGCAGGCGTGCCCCTCCGGACACTCCCCTCCACTCGGTTGATGCCATGTCGAGTTTTCAAGGCAGAAGAAGCCAGCCGTGCAGTTGCCTGTCGGCTCCGTCAACCCTCGATCAGCACAATACCTGGCCCAGACACACACACACACACACACACAGACCGAGAGGAAGCAAAAGAAAGTGAAATCAGCAACCTTCTGCATTTTGTCCTGTGTTGAAGATCACTCACTCGCCCGCGGGGCAGTTGTCACAGTCGGATAGCTCCTCGTTCCTGGTGTCATTGGAGAAGCTACCCGGTGGGCAGAGGACCTCTCGCCCGCTGCCTTCAGGGCAGTATGCGCCAGGGGGGCAGTCGTTCTCGTTGTTGAAAATCGCGCCGCCATCGCAGTAGTAGCCCGCTAAGCACGGGCCGTCTGGCGCATCCAGGCCGTTAGTGGCACAGTATTGTCCTGAAAGAAAGACAGAGAGAGAGAGAGAGAGAGGGTTGGTGGGGTATGGTCGTGTGTACATATATGGCAGAGTGAGATGTGCTGACCGTAGTCGCAGATGTACGGCCCGGTCGACCCTGTGGGGCAGTAAGTGCTCGCCACGCACTCGGCCCCTCCCTCGGTCACAACATCGGTGGGCGCGCTGCCAGTCGCCCCGCCCACGCAGTAGTGACCCTGCTGGCAGGGGCCTTGGACAGAGTCACTGCACACGAGGCAAGGATAGTCACTATGAGTGGGCGGGGCTTGCGAGGGAGGGTGATGTGGCTGGCTGGCTAACTGACGGACCTGCCAGCACTGTCGCAGAAGTTTCCTGGGTCGCAAGGGACGCATCCGACGATGGACTTGGTCTGGTTCTGGCTGTTGTACGTGCCGATGGGACATGCGTACTGGTTGGACAGCTGTGTGCCTGACGTACCATAGAGAAACCATGTCCACATCTCGTTCGTCATGCAATCAATCGTCGTGCATTGGTTGACGGACCCTCAGGGCAGTAGTGTCCCGCGTCGCATTGTGAGGTGGCGTAGGTGTCCAGCCCGGCCACGCAGAAGAAGCCGCTTGGACACACCAGACAGCTCGCCGCTTCCTCGTCCGGATTGTACGTGCCTGCACGACACATACAGCCATGCAGAGCAGACAGTCCCTCCCTCCCTCCCTGCCACTTTCCCTTTGTGTCTAAGTCACCGGCAGGACAGTCTTCCTCAGCTGCGCTTCCGAGTGGGCACCGCTTGCCCGTCCCGCACCGAAACTCTTTTGGCTGCACTTGACCGTAGGGTGATCCTGTGGGGCAGTACCAGCCCTCGGGGCACAGACCGGCGGGCAGCGCCAAACCAATACCATAACAATAGGAGCCTTATATCATCCGAAAACAGACAGACAGACAGACAGACGACCAGACACATTGACAAATGATCCTCCCATTTTTCGAACACGACCTCACTCACCACCAGGGCACGGCTTGCAAGCTAAGGGGGAGGTCTGCTGTGTGAGATCGAGGTACTGCCCCCGCTCGCATGGCGTTGGCGCCGTGGATCCAACTTCACATGTGAAGCCCATCGGACAGGGGCCCCCCGCCGCAGTGAGGAACGGGGGCGTGGCCGTGGCCGAGCCACCGGTGCAGAAGTGGCCCGCCGTGCAGTCAGCGTCCACAATGGTGGCTTCTGTCATGCCCGTCCCAGCACAAAACTGACCTGAAGACACAGCACACCCACAGCACAAGCAGCATGCCCGTGGACAGTGTGTGTCCCCCCGTGTGTGTCTTGGGACAAGAGACCCACCTGGAGGGCATTTGAGGCATTCCTCTTCGTGTGCATAGGGCGCGACACTGGTGTTGGCATATGTGCCGGGTGGACAGGGTATCTCAGCATCGCTGCCTAGCGGACAGGCCGCGTTGTCGCTACAGTCAACGCCGTCTGTCATCCCCACTGTGTCGCACATTTTCCTGAAGACCAAAGGTGAACACATACGCACACATTCATGTGCGTCGGTCCGGTCCGGGCTGCTTGGTTATGAGTGCTCTCTCTGGCTCTGTGACCGACCGTGGTTTGCATGGTGCGCATTCGTCTCTTGCCGAAAGGGCATTGTAAGTGCCCGTGGGGCAGTCCAGCTCCGCGTCGAACCCAGACCGCGTGAAGTGCCCGGGAGAGGCCTCTATTTGAGTCGGCTTGCTCGCACTACCCGTGCAGTAGTAGCCCGGCAGACACTCACCTGAAGGCACACCACACACGATCGCAGGCTGGGTCCATTGTAGACAGACTGAACGAGTGGAGGGACGTGTGGTTGCGTGCCTGATGGCTGTGCCTCGTTGGACCCTCCGCAGTAGAAGCCGCCAGGGCAGTTGGTGCAGTTGGCTTGGCTCTCTCCGCCGGGGTCGGGGTTGTAGGTGCCCGGGTCGCAGAAGTCCTTTAGAGACGAACCCGCCGTGCAGTAGCCGCCAGGAGTGCAGATGGTCCCGGTCACGTTGTCGGAGGGGTCGGGCTGGGAAGCGCCGCCCAAACACGTGTGCCTATACACACATATATACAGAGAGGGAGACATTGGCGGGGAGCCTTCTCTCTCTCTTCTGATGCGATGCGTTTGTATGGCCGCGGCTCACTCACCCAGCATCGCAGTCGCCCTCGGGCTCCCTCAGCCCGGTACTCTGGCAGTACTTGCCGGGCGTGCATGGCGTGCACATGTCTTCGTCGCGCAGGTTGGTCACATTGCCGAATTTGCCGGCTGGACAGGGTGTTACAGTAGGGCTCCCGGGAGGGCAGTAGTTGCCAGCCGTGCAGTCAGTACGGCCCGCCCCATCAGGACAGTAAAATCCCGACAGGCACTGGCCGCAATCCGTTTGATCCTTGCCGCCATAGTAGTCCCTGCGAGCAACATAGGACACCAACCGCAGCTGTACACGTGTGTGCGTGGGCTCCTCAGACTCTTCAAGCCCCCTCACCTGTATGTGCCGGCAAGGCAGTTGTGTTCGTCAGCGACGTCGCTCCCGCCGTCGCAGTATTTGTTGGGCGCACACAAACCGTCCGGTTCGAAGCTTCCCGCTGCGGAGACGTACTTTCCGGCGGGGGCTTGCAGACACGCCGCATTTGAGTCCTAACGAACGAGCGATCCGGGAGAGAAGGAGCCGCATGTCACGGTGGAGAGAGTCACATGGAGACAGACGCTCTTGCTACCTGTCCTGGGTATGGGTTGTATGTGCCAGCGAGGCATGGCTGTGCTGCGGTGTCGCCCTGAGAACCGACACATTGACATGGTGAAAAACAGACACACAGACTGACTGACAAAGGGCTCCTTCTTCCTCACTTGGGGACAGTAGTATCCCCGCGGGCAGGGCCTGGTGTTGAGTGTGGGCCGGTGGTCAACACCCGTGACGTCACACAACGTGCCACCCGGACACTCAGTCCAAGCCGAGCTAGGGCCCGTCACATTTTCGGCAGGCGTTGTGTCGGAGTCGCAGTAATGGCCCAACACGCACGCCGTACCTGAACTCACTCGCCAATTCACACAAACATAAGAAACACCATGTTTGCACGTGTCCATCGGCTTACATCCGGTCTGTCCCTCTCGCGAATAGTATCCCTTGCCGCAAGGCTGCGGCAACGGCACGCCCTCCAGGCAGTAGTATCCCGGCGGGCAGACGGCGCACTGGTTGTCGGTGTTGGGGACGTACGAGGGTGGGGCGGGATGTCTGGTGGTGAGGTCCCAGACGCCTGTGACGCCTCGGTTGATGCTGAAGGATGCCATGTTGGATGTTGCCTCGGGGCAGGGAATGGGGTACACTGTCCCTGCCAGACAGTACATGCCCTCCGGGCCTGCACAAGGACCGACACACGTGAAGACATACACCTCTCTTTCTGGACATGGGTGTGAGTGTAGCTGTGTGTGTACAATAGTCGCAGTCCGCCTCTTGGATGAGGTCTGTGCGCGTGGTGTATCGGCCGCTGGGGCAGGGGTTGGCAAGGGGATCGGTCGTATTCGCAGGACAAAAGTGACCTACTCACACACACACGTAGACACACACAGAGAGAGAGATGAAGATAAAGAGATATCTCTCCTCTCCGGCCACAGGTCACCTTTGGCGCACGGTCCGTCTGGGGCCGCCTTGCCCCCCGAACAGAAAAAGCCGGGCGGGCAGCCGAGACACTGACCGTCGTGAGTGAGGCCGGTGTAGGGAGAGTAGGTGCCAGGGTCGCAAGGGTTCTGTGTTGGGTACTCCGTGCGCAGCGGGCAGTAGTGGCCGATGGGGCAAGGCTGCGGAGGGAACGCCGGCCCGCCCGTACCCAACGCACACACTTTGCCTGTGTGTGAGAGACACACTCAGCTCATGCGGCGTTCCGCCTCGTCTATGTTCGTGTCCACGGCCATGACTTGTTGGTCTCCCTTACTTACCGGCAGGGCAATCCACACAGTCGGCGGGATCCTCGCCGTCGATGGCATCGAGATACGTGCCGCGGGGGCAGGGGAACTCCTGGGGCCACCTGTGTCAAGACGAAGAAGACACAATGCGCTTGTCTACCACATACGGTGGCCACTGAAGTCTCTCTCTCACACCGATGTCACTGACCTGGTGCCAGGAATGCTACCAGCGAGCGGGCAGTAATATCCCGCCGAGCAGTTGACCGAGGCCGAGGCCATGCCGAAAAAGGGGCATGCCTTGCCGGCATCACACTGGACACAGCTTGAAGAGGGCCCTTGGCCTGAATCGGGATTGTATGTCCCAGGATCGCACGGGATCGGAGCCAGCAGCCCAACTTCCCCTGAGTTCCATTTGGGGTCAGCAGGGTCGCAGTAGTGACCCGCAGGGCAGTCGAGGAAGTGACTCGGATCAGAAAGGCCTCCTCTCTTGCCGCTGTATTTTCCTCCTGTAGGCGCGACTGGCGAATTGTCCGCTGGCGTTGTGCCTGCACGGCAGTAGTAGCCGATGGGGCATGGCGTCATGGCATCCCGCGACGCGCCGCGGCACCAGCGGCCGGCGGGACACGCGAGGCAGTCGGTTGCCCAATTCGACTGCCAACAGATACACACATTTGAAAAACCGATGATGAGCAATGTGGCTGCCAAATTGCCCATCGGTGTGCGTCGTCGACTCACTCACCTGTCCTGGCGTAGGATTGTATGTGCCAGCGGGACATGCCGTGCCCGCGGGGATACTACTGTCCCCACCGTCGAGTGACCCGGTGCCTGTCGGGCAGACATGGCCGCGGCGGCAGAGCAGGTCGCCATTGATTGCCCTGGTCGCCGCTGGGCACCAGTAGCCTGCCAAGCAAGCCCCACAAGCAGTGTTTGCACCACCACCGCCGGACTCGCCACTGATGACAGCACGAGACACAACCCTTGTCGACTGGATGACTGTTGATGGTGTGCGTGTATGTGGTTGTATCTTACGGCGGGCATGGGACAGCATAGCGGGGCGTGCCCGCCAGGTAACTAAACCCCAGTGGCACCAAATCTGTGTCGGGGTCGGTTGACCCGCCCTGACAGAGATACCCAGCGTTGCAATTCGCGCATCCAGTCACCGGCGTGTTGGAGTACGTCCCAGCACGGCACTGCTGCGGCTGATAGTTGGCTGACGGGCAGAAGTGGCCGTCGGGGCAGGGGGTGCACGCACTCGCCCCTCCAAGTGAGTAGTTAGGGGCTGTACACAAAGTCGCGCTCAGGGCCGTGCACGAGGAGCCGGCGGGACACGGCAGGCAGTGGGCGCTGTTTGCAGCCGAGTACGTGCCGGTCGAACACGCCACTGTGACCGCCTGGTCGAACTCGGGACACATGGTGCCGGCTGCACAGGTGTCACAGCTCGTCTGGCCGCCCGTCGAATATCGACCTGATGGAGCAGCCAGCAACAAGACATCCCAAAAAGTCAGCCAGCCAGCACTATGTGCGTGTTCTTCGATCTCTGTTGTACCAGGCAGGCAGGGATCCGGGGGTTGAGCGGGGTCACCGCATTCATGCCCGGGGGGACACGGTCGACACGCCAGGTCACCCGGCAAAGAATAGTCAGGGGCGGAGCACGTGACTTTCGGTAATTTGGGGTCGGGGCACGCCTCTCTTGCGACGCACGGAACACACAGGGTAGCTTGGGCAGCACTCATGGTGCCTAGCGGGCACGGGATGGGCTGTGCGTCGACACGGGGGCAGAAGAAGCCTGCTGGGCACTCCGTGCAAGCGGTAGCGCGGCCGAGGGAGTAGAAGCCTGGGTTGCAAGCCGCTGGTGCCGCCGTTTTGTCAAAACACCTGCAGATATGCATCCACACACATACACGGAGAGATCACATGGGGGGTGGGGTCGGGCTGCGGTTGGCTGGCACGACTGACTGTGATCCTGCGGGGCACGGAAGGCAGAAGGTCTTGATATTGAGGGCGTCATTGTATTCCCCGTCGGCGCAGGGCGTCGTCGTGTTGCCGCAGCTTTCGCCAGCGGGGCAATCGGCGCAGTCGGGCCCGTACTCGCCATTCGCCGTGTCGCACAGAGTCTTCACTGGACACACACAAAGAGAGAGAGACACCACATTCACAGAGGGATCGTTGGCCGTGGTCTACCCCCTCTTACCAACTTTGACGTGCACGCGGCTGCCGGGGACGAAGTTGGCATTGAGGCCATTGAACCGTGAGTCGCTTGGAGCAACGGCGGTGAGGTCGCAAAAGACATCGACGGTCATGGGCCATCTGGTGGCGTACGGGCCCACATCTAGAGTCACTGTCTTGGCTGAAGTGTCTCCCGTCAGCCATTGGACGGAGGTGGCTGAGGGCGTCACCTCAGGAGCCGGGCAGTTCACGTTGACTGTCACAGTGCCAGAGGCAGCACCTTCCAATTCCACAGTGAACTGTGCGGCAGAGGTGGTGTCTTCCTGTGCGATGAGGGCGTTCTCGGAGACAACGATGCCCGCGGTCTTGTCGTCGAGCACACTCACGTGGAACTTGCCATCCGGTGGAAAGATCGGCGGAGCTCCGGTCAGCGGAGAGGTCACTGCGTGGGTGATGTCGTACTGAACTCTCTCACCGTGCGGATCTGTGTACGCGAGGGCGTTCACAGTGACGTTGACGCCGGCAGTCGACCCAGCTGAGATGGTCACCGGCGCTGGGTTGGCGGTTATTCTGGTGGGGTCGACCCCAGACACCGTCAGAGAGATAATGACGTCAGCTGGCGGCGGGGCAGTGGCGTAGATAGTGTATGTCCCGGATGTGCCCTCGATGATGGACATGGCGGGCGGCTCGATGATGACGGCATAGGTGTCGTCGCTCAGGACATCGATGTATAGCTCGCCGCTGTTGCTGACATCGGTCAGCGCACCGCGGTACGCTCGATGGGGTCCCGGGTTTTTGTACGCGAGGTCGGCTGACGTGCTGGGATCGTGGCTGAGAGCCGCCCTGAGGGAGGTACCGCCGCTGACGCTGCCATCAACGCCTGTGACCGTCACATACTGCCGCCGAAACCTGAGACACGCGCAGACAAGAAAGGTGGACTGCCTTTGTCTGTGCCTCCATCTCCCTCTCTCTCGTCTGTCTGTGTTCTTGTGTGTACCATGATTCGGTGGAGAAGGTGAGCTGTGTGGGCGACACGGTCACTTCTTGCGGTGGAGTAGTGGCATTCGACGTTATGTCGATCACAACAGTGTCCGACGGCTGAGTGCCCAGCCGCACCCAGTAGGTGGTCGAATGGCCCTCCTACCCATGCGCAACACACCAAGAGGCACAGATGCCTCACTCGCGACATGCAGGCCTCCTCTCCCCGTCTCTGTGTGACTGACTCACCATGATAGTGCTGGGCTGTGATGCGATGATGCTCGCGTTCTTGTATTCCGTGTCGAAGCTGGCCGATAGGGCCGAGGCACCACCGCAGACCGTGGTCGTGCACACCGCCCGCCATTGGTCGCCTGTGCCCGTTGCGATCATGGCCACGGTAAAGGTCGCCTCGCCATACATATCTGTCGTGCCGGTGAGGGTCGGCGGCCCCCCGCCGCCGTCGAGACTCATCCTGCACATCAAAAAGCCGTGTCTCTCATCCACCCAACATGTCTCTGTCCCGACTCTCTCTCTCTCTCTGTCTCTCTGTCTGTGCGGTGTGAACGTGTGGTTGGTCACTCACTGGACAGTGTATCCCTCCCCCGAGGCAGATTTTGAGTCGTAGAGAGGGTTGCCGCCCACGTCGACCAGTCGCACCTTGACTGTGGCGCTCTCGCCCACATACATCGGGTTAGGCGGCTCGATCACCCACTCGACTCCCTCTCCAAGCCCGCGCCATATGCTGAACGCCTCAGACAGGCCGGTCAGGCCACCTGGCTCTGTCGCGCGAAGCCGGTAGGTGCCTGCCTTGTCAATCGAGAGGCCCACGAAGCTAGCCTCACCCAAGGCGGCTGTCTCTACGGTGGTTCCATAAAGCGTCGCACATGAGTCCGTGGCCACTGTAAGTGTCACGTCGTCAACGAAGCCTTCGTCGGTGTTGCCGAATTGGTCCACGGCAATCACTGTCGGCTGCGAGTCGAAAGACGCCCTGGAATAGGCAGACGACGGGCTGACCGAAAACCTGACACACAAGAACGAGACAGACGTTTGCTGGGCGGGCGCGTGTGTGTGCGGATGTGTGACTGGCTCATTACTGGAGAGCGTTGGCAGCCTTGGGGATGACATTAAAGGTATTGGAAGTAATGGGTCTGTAGCCAGAGGCATATGCAATCAACTGATACCCAGCTGCACAACACACAGAAAGAAAAGCAGACACTCCGCTTGCAGTTCCAACCGCCTTGTCTCTGCTGACTCACTTCCTGCCGTCGTAATGACGAGGTCATTAAAAGTCACCGGGTCCGCGGGAGACTGTTTGGTGGTCCCTATGAGCTCCACTGGCGAGTCGACAGTCACATGCACGTCACCTCCCTGGTCCGCACCTGACAACGCGAAAGTAATTGAGTCGCCCGCAGTGTAAGAGCCGGTCACGTCCGTCGATATGCCGAATGTATTGGGCGTAGCGTCGCTGATAGTGAAAGGATCGCTCTCGACGGACACGGCCTCGGATCCCCCTTCCATGCCGTAAGCATAGGCAAGCATCCTGTATGTCCCGGTTGACGTAACAAAGACGTTGCTGAAGGTGGCGACTCCTGCGGCTGACGTGATTGCGACGGTGTCACCCTTGAGCACGGCTGCCGTCGCATCGTTGAGTGTGAGTGTCACAGCCACCCCACCAAGTGGTGCTACAGGACCGCTGGCTTGCACAAAAACAGTTATTTGCGCGAGAGCCTCGAACACACGGGCGTCTGAAGGCGGGGCGGGTCCAGCGGGCTGGGCCGTGAAGCTGATGAAGTAGGGAGACGCAGCAAGGCATCGCTGGACGCCAATGATGAGCAGCAGGGCAGCGAGAGAGGCCCATGGCCTCCCCATCCTCAGGCTCTGCTGAAAGATAGGCAGGGGTAAGACGGCAGTTGCGACAAATCAGCCGCGCTTGTCACGGGAAGATGGATGATCCGCAGCAGCTGTGATTGCTGTGAGCATCAGAATCATCTGCGAGGGGACCGATTCTCGGCGGGGAAGGGAAAGAGACGTGGGGGGTGGCTGGGGGCCGAAAGACGCCGCGAGTACGGAGAGGCTAACCCCGGGCCCAAGTTGAACCTCCTCCTCCTCCAGCTGCAGCTGCATGGGGAGGCCCTTCAACCAACACGGACCAAGATGAAATGCAAGAAAGATCTGCTTGCGTCGCGCTCTCCCGTAAGTCGCAGATTCTACCGTCTGTTCCGTTAGCTCAGCTGGTAGAGTGTGCGACTTTTACGGAACGCGTCTCCTAATACCGAATGCAATCGCATGGTCACGGGTTCGAACCCCGTACGGAGCTATTGCGGACGCGACAGAACGTCACATCCTCAGTCTTTCACCGCCTTCTGCTGGGACGCATCAGATCTCTGAGTCAGAACACCCACTCTCAGATCTCGCATCCAAACACGTACGACAGAAGGTGAGCCCAGACAGATACGAGCCATGCATCTGCCGCTCTCTCTCACCCCGTCTGTCCGTCTGTGCTTCATCTGTCAGTCAACAACTGTTTGAGGAAGCAATGTGTGTGACGTGTGAGGAGTGTGGCGCCTTCTGCAGCGCGACAGCTTGCCTGACCCTGGTTATACTGCTCCTCGCCAACTGGGGCATGGTTCTGGTCCGTGTCGACGAGATTGGCGACAGCCACAGTGCGGCGCTGAAGCTGGTGGTGGCCAACGAGGAGCTCATGTGGTCGCACATGAAGGCCGACCTGATGGACGACATGGCTAAGAACACCACGGCGATAGCTGGTGATGTGGCTGACATCGAGGCAATGGCGGGCAACATGGCGCTGCTCAAGCATACGCTCCACCTGCGAGGCAGCAACAAGACTGACAACCATCCCGCTGTCCCGCCTGCCGGCAACAGCAACAGCAACACCACCGACGTGATCATTGACAAGCCAACCAACAGCACGACGACCACCAACAGCGCCGAGATGATAGCTGCCCGTGCTGTGCAAACTGACCTTGCCATAACGACGTAGGTAACCTTCTTCTGCTGCCTGCCACAGTGAGTGATTTCACGTCATTTGTCTTTGCCTATGGGCACATAAGTAAGTGGCTTGGTGCACTGTACATGTACTGGATGCCTCGATACTGTGTGTGTTGAGAGTGCGTGCGCGCGTGTGTCTTGAGGGTGCGTGTGTGTGTGTGTGAAGGTGTGTGAGAGGGTGAAGCAGTTGTCGTCGGCTGCGTCACTTTTTCCTCGTCAGTAAGTTTTCATCTGGCCTGTCTGGCCGCCATTCTCTCCTTGAGACAGAGCGTGTTGGTGTAGTGTATTTCTACGTAGAGAGAGACTGGGCATGCTGTTCTCGACGATAGGTGGCTAGGCTCCAGTAGGTAGATGGATGGATGCCCTGAGTGTTGGTTGCGTGGAGAGAGAGAGAGAGATGCTTTGCTGTGGGGTGATGAGAACTCGACGAGACGAACAAACATGAGGAAGATGTCCACTGTTGCCCGCCGTCAGGCACTGGACATGTCACGTTCCACATTCATCTCATTCATCCACCCGCTCGTTCACGGGGGTCCCATAGTCCGCCCTCTCACAAACGGTCGCACACGCCATGCCTCCATGCATCAAGACGCCCTCACACGAACACGAACACGACGCGACACGCAGACCGTCCTGATGGGTGGTGGGTGTGGGGATGTGTGTGTGACGAGAGACCAAACGGCGCGCCATCGTCCATCGAGCAAAATTGTGTCATCAAACGCACAAATCATGCCGACAACAGACAGACTACCGATAATGTGATGCCTCGTGTTGTGAGAGGAGGGAGGGGAGAGCGGGGGTGGGGGGGTGGAGCGGCATCACACACGGCCACGGCCGGCCCCACTCGGGCAGGACACTCACGCACAAAAAGACGGCCGGCCGGCAGCCATTGATGTGTCGCCTCCTTCTCCCCGCCAGCCGTTCTGACAGGGAGGGCGGCGCACACGTAAAGGCAGCACACACACACACCGACCGACCGACCGACCGACCGACCCACACACACACAGGCAGGCAGGCAGGCACCCAGCCATGCAGGCCGAATTCAGAGGAGCATTGCACCATCCATCCATCCTCATGTTAGGCATCTCTCTCTCTCTGTCGCAGTCAGAAATAAACACAGGCGCTCCCGCAGCAATCAATCACCTACACACGACACGGCACGACACACACGCATGCACCCATGTAGCATCGCTTAATAGAAAGAAGTTGCCCTCTCTCTCTTCCTCTTTGTCCCTCTCCCTCTCCCTGAGAAGTCAGTGGCTGTTAATCCCTACTTGATCGTACACGGGAAAATGGGCGGCCATCGGTCAGAGTCAGACCGACATGCCGCCCTGGGCGCATGGCCGGCAGACGAGTGAGGTGATCGAGATCGATCCCCCGTCTGCCTGCCGGCATCGCCGGAAAACTGACGCTGCTGCAGAAAGGCCGGCCAGCCAAAATGGCCGGCCGATCAGCAGCAGCGTGGTACTGTCTGCAAGAGGTAGGTGGTAGAGAAACAGACATGCACACGCACACGTGAGGCATACATACTCACACACAGAGCTTGAAACAGGCCGTGTAGCAGCTGTACAGGTGCGGGCAGGCAGGCAGGCAGGCAGGCAGGGAAAGGCCGTTGCTTTCAAGGTTTGTGGGGATGTACTCATGTAAGCAGGCGTGTGTGTGCTACTGGTGCGGGTGTCCGCAGCCATCCATCCAGCCATCCATCCATCCATGAAGGCGGCCGGTCAGGCAGACAGGCAGGCAGACAGGCAGGCAGGCGTGTATATTACAAAGAGCAGGGGCATGTTGCATGCAGGTCACATCCATCCCCCTCTCTCCCCCTCCCCGCTCAATCCATCCATCCATCACATCATGCGCTCACTCACTCGACGACCGACTCTTAGTCTACACGACAGGCAGGCACGCGGACACGTGCTCCTCATCTCGCAAAGGCAAATCAATCAACACGGAGAGACACCGATACCGACACAGACGCCCACTCCTCCCCAGCCCCCCTCCCCCACCGCACCGTAAAATCATCACAGAGAGACGCGACAGCGACCGACCGACACGTCATCCATCCATCCATCCGTCCAGGGTCACCATGCGTGAAAAAAGGCGAGACGCGGGGACCAAACCCTCATTGTGGTGTCTCGTATGTTCGCTTTCTACGGCAGCTGGCGGGGCTACGGTACGGGTGCGTGTGACTCGACAGACAGACAGACACACAGACAGACAGCCACGGGGGCTCGTGCTGCACGAACGTCGATGTGTGTGTGTCTCTCTCTCATCTCATTCATCCAGCCATCCGTCCAAGGCGCCCCTTCACACTGACACACCCAGCCAGCCAGACAGACAGGTGAGGTGGACGGATGGACACGACGGCACGGCAAGCAAACAAGAATGACCGAGTGACGAGCGACATGACGAAAAAGAGTTGAGTACGGAAACACTGTTTCTTTCTAGCCTACGGCACACACTCCTCTTCTCATGTGTGTGTGTGTGTGTGTGTGAGTCAATGTCGGTTGGCCGGCTAGCTGGCTGGCGGGTACACGGGCACCACCGCGCCCTCGAGCAACCAATCTGACGGACCAGTGCGCTCACCGTCCAGCAGACGGATCACCAGATGGAGCCGTAGCCATGTACACCCAGCTGGTAGCCGAACACTGTCCAGACAGACATGAGCGTGATGACAGACAGACAACTGCCTCTCTTTCTCTCACTCAGAAGCGAGTCGAAATCGAAATTCACGTGCTACCTAGCTTAGCTAACCAACAACAGCCACGCCCCTCCCTCCCTCCCTCCCTCTCTCTGGCCAATTCGCCCATCCCTCATCCATCCATCCATCCATCAGTGGTTTGTACTACGCAAGCATCAAATCATCACACTATAGGAAGGTCGAGAAACGTACTCT